TTGATGTTCCTAACTAAAATTCATTTATTTAAATTATTTGTCCATTCCGCATGTATTGAGAAAGAACTAAATGAGAAAATTTAAATTTGAGAGGAAGAGCAAAAAAGCAAAAAGACTAATCTATAGCATAATTAAAGTAATAAAATCTAATTAAATTAAGTATGTCAATTTAAGTTGAGAGAAGCAACTATAACCAGTGAAATCTGAAAAAGATAGATTGTACACAGACCTTATAACTATTTTACACAACTAGAAAGATTATTTCCGATATATATATATCAAATCAATCAAAAAGCTAAAAAAATAATTAAAAGAAAAACTTACAACACTAGAACCTTCAACTGATTCATATAAAAAACTTGGAGCTTCATGATCCTCTTCTTTCACCAAACATCGATACGCCAACACCGGAGTCAGATGATCGGAAAAAATGGTAGTGTACAGCGGAATCAAGTTTCCGGTTTTAGAAACTTCAATGAACCTCTTCTCATCAATAACTGAACAAAAAAAAAAAAATTTATTTATTTACTCTCACACGATTTAATCAGTCAAATTAAGTCACATAAATTGAAATATATACCGTGACGAAGAGATGAAGAGCAGCAATGGAGACGAGCATAAGTTGAACTCCGAGAGATCGGCAGAATATTCCGATGACAGATAGGTAACAATTGCATTTTATAGTGTTCGAAAATTGAAGTGAAAGATTTTGGTGATAGTGACTTGGAAAATGGATCACTTATTTATACTCTCAAAAAAAAAAATTATAACAATGAAAGTTGATTTAATTAATTTTTTAAATTTGATAATAATATTGTTTGACTTCAAAAAAAAAAATTATAACAATGAAAAGTGGATGTTATAGTATCATATTTATTGACATTATATAAAAATAAACTATTTATTAATATAAAAAGTGTAATAAACACATTAAAAATAATTGTATCTTGTTAATTATATTTATTGAATTCATATAAAATTATATTCATTATACATGAAATACAATGTGTGCGTATAATTCGTTCTAATATATATATATTTGTTGAATGGTTCATTGTAAAATAAGTTCAAATATACGATAATTCATGATATAAAATATTCATTGTTACTTAAAGTCCGTTGGGATTGATTTAAAAATAGCTTTTAAATCAAAAATAAAAAAATAAATTTAGATGACTTTTAAATCAAAAGTAAAATGTATGGAGGGACATACTTTTGGTTTTTGACTTATTTCAAGTCATTTTAAACTTTTTTATGTTATTTTTAACCTTGTTAAATATTTTTTAACTTATTTTAAGTCATTTCGACTTATTTTAAGATATTTTTATATTTGTTAAAGACTTGCAGAAGTAAAAAAAAATGACTTAATTTAGGTTTGACTAACTTTTAAGTTAATCCAAACTCTCCCTTAATAATTAAATACTCTCAACATACTATTTTATATGTCATCTCTTTCTATAAATAGTTAAACCACAATACTTGTCATATTATAAAATTTAGGGAGAATACACAAATACCCTCTAGATTATAACCGAAATTTCAGAGACACACCTTAACTAAACTAAGGTCCTATTACTCTTAAATTTATTTTTCTTGTAATACCTTTTGTCTTACGTGGCACATTCTGTGACCCTACGCAATTGAGGCGCGTAGGAAATATTTGGATGCCACATAAGCCAAAAGGTGTACAAAATTATTAAAAAAATAAGTTCAAGGGGTAATAGGACCGTAATTTAGTTAAGTGTGTCACTGGATTTTGGTCATAATCTAGGGGGTACTTGTGCATTTTCTCTAAAATTTATGCATAAATTACCATGTTTCCTATTATAGCCTTGATAGAATAGTTGATTAATCTTGTCATTTATTAATAAAGTTGACTTAAGAAAATATTGAATAAGGCTAGAAAAACAAAGTTACATCATATCTTAATGCAATTGTAAATTAAAAATGTGACATATAAAATGGGACGAATGGAGTATTATTCATTGTATTTTTACTAAAATATTCAATGTATGATTGAGAGAAAATAAGTTATATAAGCAACATAGGAAATTTTTGAAACCATATTCAAAAATGGCTTCTCATTTAAAAGGTGTCACAAAATTAGCAATCACAAATCAAATACGTAAACTGTTATGTGAGTACGAAAAAATCATTCCACATGCACTTAAAAAGCCTTGCAGTCGTGGCAACATCGAAACTTTCGAATGCAATAAAAAAATTTAGAGATAAGCTTCAACTAACTAGATTCAAATTTCAACAACAAACAAAAAACACAATGGAATCATATTTCAATAAATTCTATTTGATATATGTGTACTTTCAAAGAATTTTAAATATATAATACTAACAAAATCATATATTTATATAAGGATCTTTTGAAAATATATTATCTTATCGAAATGCGTGATTTATTTCATTGATCCAAATCGAAATCTAGAGAAAAAGTTTTGTGCTAGAAAGATTATTAGTTTATCGAGTATTAATTTATTGAGATTTTAATGAATTTCTACTTTTCTTGGCCATACATAATGATTCACGTGTCTCAATTAATAGGGATAATATAGTAAAAGAAAAATACTCAAATACATTGAAATTTAAGAAAAATATCATCTACATCGTTCGTAAAAAACTTGGTTCATCGATATCATTTTCATTAGAGAAAAAATTCATCTATTCCGTTATTTGTTAAATGAAAAAGGTTTCAATTTCGCAAAATCATTTTTTATCTGTGGACAATTATAATTTGACATTGCTATTAAGTAAATCATTTTTTTATAAAAAAAAATGTCCAAATATGATATCAAACTTTGAAAAATAACTCATTTATGTCATCTGCTTAAAGTATGGTTAATCTATATAATTTCAATTAACAAACAATGGCATGGATAAGTCTTTACTTAAACAGATATGATATAAATAATGTATAATATAAAAAGTATTCTTTTAACGCTGGATAACCTATTTAAGCAGTTTTTCAATAATAAAATAATATAACAATTATTATTTTCTTAATAAATACGTCAAATTTAGATATAACTAAAAGTACACTAAAAAAGTAGTAACTAATTTAACTGCGACCGACTCCCAAATAATTGTGACAACTGTTCCTTTTTGCAGATAGGATAATTTATTATTTTGTTTTAAATTTCTTAACCTACTGGAATACTACTATTAACTCAAAACTGCTATTTGCATCATTGCCATAAATGAGGAATTTATGACGTGCAGGCAACCGTTAAATGACCACAATTATGGGACTAAAATATGAAAATAAATATTACCTTTTAAAAAGGATGATTTAATTTAATTTAAAATGGAGTTTAAAAAATGAGAGAATTTTTTTTAATTTTGTGGTTCAAAAGTAAAATTATATCAAATGTATCAAAATGTCCTTCAATTTTGTGGTCTTAAACATGTCACGTGAAAAGTTAAAGTGTTGCCAAATAAAAAAAGAGGTCATTATTTTTGAAACAAAATAAAAAGAAAATAAAGACATTTTTTTTTAAAACGGAGGGATTATAAAAAAATCAATATGATCCTTTTTTCTCCCAAACAGAGGCATTCAATGTTTATATTAAATTAATTTAATTTCGGGAAAATATATAAGTACCTTCTTGACAATGATCAAAATCTCAGAAACACATCTTAACTAAACTAAGATCCTACTACCTCTGATTTTTTTTTTTTTTGTAATTTATGCACCTTTTTGGCTTACGTGACATCCAAATATTTTCTAGCGCCTCAATTGCGTGGGGTCACGAAGAGTGTCATGTAAGACAAAAGATGTATATTATTACAAAAATAGAAGTTCAGGGGTAATAAAATCTTACTTTAATTAAGGTGTCTTTCTGAAATTCGGTCATAATCTAGGTGGTACTTGTGCTTTTTCCCTTTAATTTCTATTACAATGTAATTTAAGGAAGTAAAATTTATGTTATAAAATTTAAACATATGACAAATATGTATTGAATTGATATAAATATTTTGTGTGAATAAATTTTATCCCAGATAAAACTAAGTCATTAATATTCCTTTAAATTCTAAAAGTTCATATTACTTTACTCAATGGAAAAATAAATAAATATATTTTTGTTGCAAAGAAAGCTCAGAATATAAGATGAAAAAGACAAAAAGTATAAGATAGAGGAGATAATTTTCTTATTCAAGTATATCATACAATGGTGAATGATATCTCTATTTATAGTGTTGAGATATCATATTCAAAGGTCACCTTGAAATTTTACATAGTTATCATCAAGGTTCATATCACCTTGATATCTTATCACATTGGAAACACTAATACATGAATTCAATTAATTGTTGGATAACTCTAATAGATCATCCAGATATACAATGAATTTACAACACTCCCCCTTGGATATCCATAGATTATGTGCCTCATTAAAACCTTACTAGGAAAAACCCAGTGGGAAAAAGTCTAGTGAAGGAAAAAGAGTACACATATCTCATAATACGCTTTGAATGTTGCCTCGTTAAAAACCTTACCATGAAAACCCAACTTGGGACAAAACCATAGTTAAGGAAAAGAGTACAACGCGTATTTCGCTCCCCCTGATGAAAACTTTACTTGATATCTCGGAGACGGCGCATTCCAATCTTGTATCTCAACTTCTCAAATGTTGATGTTGGCAATGCCTTAGTGAATAAATCAGCAAGATTATCACCTGAACGAATTTGTTGAACTTCTATCTCACCATTTTGTTGAAGATCATACGTGAAAAAGAACTTTGGTGAGATATGCTTTGTCCGGTCTCCTTTGATGTATCCTCCTTTCAATTGAACTATACATGCAGCATTATCTTCGTACATTGTGGTTGGTATATTCTTTTTCAAAGAAAAACCACACATTTTCTGAATATGATGGGTCATTGATCTCAACCAGACGCACTCACGACTTGCTTCATGGATGGCTATTATTTCTGCATGATTTGAAGAAGTGGCTACCAACGTTTGCTTCATTGATCGCCAAGATATTGTCATGTCTCCACATGTAAACAAATATCCTGTTTGTGATCAAGCTTTATGAGGATCTGATAAATACCGTGCATCTGCGTAACCAATCAGTTCTGATTTGGATTCATTGGAATAGAATAAACCCATGTGCATGGTCCCTCGAAGATATCGAAATATGTGTTTAACACCATTCCAATGTCTTTTTGTTGGGGAGGAACTGAATCTTGCTAGTAGACTTACTGCAAAATAGATATCTGGTCGAGTATTGTTAG